CCCTTAGTTGCTTTTGGTCATGGACATTACCACAGCATTGGGAACCAAATGAGGACACTGCAGTTTTTTGCTCTTGGACTTGGGCTCAGGCTTTTACCACACCGCTGAACTCTGTATCCTTGCTCTCAAACCCTGACTTCAGTCACCTCCCAGCACTGGTCTGGCTTGTATCTTATTGATATAGACTCATACAGCCTCTCGTTGAAACCTTTTGTACTCTGCTGCAGCTGCTTTAACTTGTATTCCTCCTGTAAATTACATATATGCATGTATACTTAGCATGTGTGATGTCTATTATCTGTTTGTCTGTCAGGTTGCTGTCACTGAAACCTCTGGGCCTTGAGAATTTATTGCTATTCAATAAGCTATAATGTTTTGGAAAGACACAAACATGTCCCTCTGTGTCTCTGGCTAGCATGCCCACAACATGGAGCAAGATCTTTTGCCCGCCCAGCCATCTCTCCAGCCCTTAGGTTAAATGTTGAAAGAATTAGCTGCTAGGGATGGTGGTACATGCCTTCAACTCCACACTTAAAAGGCTGACCTGGGAGGACTGAGAATATGAGACTGGCCTGGGCTGTACAGCAAGTTCAAGACCAGCCTGGAAATCTATATCATGAGACCCTGGTGCTCACACACATACACACATATACACAAACACACACAACAGATAGATAGATAGATAGATAGATAGATAGATAGATAGATAGATAGATAGACAGACAGACAGACAGATGGATACTTTCACTGAACTCTGATGTGGTCCCTTTGAAAGAGGGCAGGGAGTGAAAATGGAATGAAGGAAAGGAAAGGGTCTGGGAATTTGAGTGTTCCAAATCAAAACTTTAGATTTCCTGACCATTAGAACAGCATTCCGGAATGATTATCCCTCACACACATACTTCAGATTTTGACACTTTCTCCATGTGTCCAGCACTCCATTATCTAAGAGGTCGGGGTGACTAAAGGGAAAAAGTGTCTCCCCAAGATCAGATCTGACCCACAGCAATAAACGTGCCTCTACTCTGAAACTATTCCCCAAGGGCCTAGTATTCCATTCTCTCCCCTTTTTAGTGTTGGAAAATCTAATTCCAAACAAATGTTAATAACTTCATTATGTGAGCAAAAGGCTAATAAGCCATGCAGCTGAAGAGTTTTAAGGCTGAGCCCCTTAAGCTTTTGTGCCGTAATACTTGATCTCCTGACACAAATCTATTGCTAGTGTGGGCCACATACACACGTATGCAAAGATCCCACAAAATAAACTAAAACTAAACTGATTACATTCCTGATAGGCTAGGTGTGACTCGTACACATGCACACGCAAGCACACACACATGCACAGGAAAACAGGACTGAAGAGAGCTCAGATGGTAACGTATTTATGAATGCAGGAAAACCTGAATTTCATCCCCCAAAACTCACATTTAAAAAGCCAGGCATGACAGCACACCCTCCTAATTCCAGTACAGAGGCAGAGGTGGCAGGGACCCCTTGGGCTTGATGGCCAGGCAACCCAGCCTGTTGAGTGAGTTCTAAAACAATAAAAGACCCTTGTCTCAAAAAAAAAAAAAGAGCAGAGTGGATGGCTTAAATGAGAATGGTCCCCCCAGGCTCACGGGTTTGAATGCTTGGTTCCCAGCTGGTGGAACTGTCTAAAAAGGATTAAGAGGCGTGGCTTTGTTGGAGGAAGTGTATCACTGGGGGTGGGCTTTGAGGTTTCAAAAGACAACCCCATTTCCAGTTCTCTCATTCTCCTGCTTCGGTATCAAGATAACTCCCAGCTGCGCCCACCACCATGCCTTTCAGAACCTTCATGAACTCTAACCCTCTGGAACAATCAGCTTACTTACATGTTTTCTTCCATAACTTGAACTAGTCATGGTGTTTTAGCACAGCAATAGAATAGTAACTAATATTGCACCAAGAGACCAAAACTAGAAGCCTCCACACATCTCCACACACACACGCAAGTGCATCAAGCTCACACATGTATCTGTGCACATTAACAGGGAAGAGAAGAGAAGAGAAGAGAAGAGAAGAGAAGAGAAGAGAAGAGAAGAGAAGAGAAGAGAAGAGAAGAAAAGAGAAGAAAAGAGAAGAAAAGAGAAGAAAAGAGAAGACAAAGTCAGTTCTCAGGACCATGCTGCCACAGAACACAGGCTGAGGAACCCCAGAAAACTCTCAGAAAGCATGGAAGAAGAATGAGAACACCCTAGACTGCTGTCAGCAGGGTAGTTCTATGGCAAGAACCTCTTGACAATGTGAAAAAGCAAATGAATAACTTCTGTGTCTGGACAGCCTTGCCTGTTACAGGATCGGCTACTCTGTGAGCGGAAGAGAAAGGTTGTGGGACGAAGGACCCCTGGGCTGAAGATGACAACATTTATAGGAACAAAGCAACTGTCCTAGACTAAACCACCAGACAAGATGTGACACCCTCACATGGATAGAAACAATGGAGCCGCCAGATACATCCAAGATGATTCTTTAACCCATAAATTAGGGTCACTGCTTGATTTGATAGCCACATCAGACCTGGCTTCAGAAGCTGATCGTTTAACTTCAGATCTACTTTGGATAGAGGACGTGGAGTGATGGGCCAGCAGCTCACAGGCCTGTTTTGACTTTATCTCATCAGTGCCATTGACACCACCATTGTTTGGAGAAATGAGCAATCCCTAACATTTTTCCATCACTGGCATTTGGCTCAGATTGGGTACATTTCCATATTCAAAGTAATATTAACCCTTACTGCAGCTACTTGGGCTACCCTGGGTAAAAGTAACTTTTATTCACCTGAGGTAACTGTCTTAGAGGCTTACTGCCTCTGTCTGCTAACCTAGGCCTAGTCCTGGAAGCTTCTAGCCTCCATACAATCTAAACTAGGCCTAGACTGTTTTAAGCCTCTGAGACTTACTGCTGAATAAACTCACCCTGTCTAGTTCTTTCTGAACTCTGGCTGGCTGGCTCAACTTAGCCTTTTTGGCTCAAACTTCTCTCCAAACTGACTAATTCTATCTGGCTTCTCTCAGCTTCTGACTAAATAGCTCTGCTTGGCCTCAAACTAACTTAGCAATCTGTTCTAATCTTCTGACCCCTTTTCATTCTCTGGCTCATTCTGTCTTCATCTGTGTCAAGCTGTTCTCTTTTCAACCTGGCTCTGGAAACTCTCCAGGAAAAATTGCCTCAGAGGGAGAAAACAAGGAATAGGACAGGAGCCTACAATAGAGGGACTCTGAAAGACTCTACTCAGCAGGGTATCAAAACATATGCTGAGACTCATAGCCAAACTTTGGGCAGAGTACAGGGAATCTTATGAAAGTAGGGGATGATGAAAGACTTGGAGGGGACAGGAGCTCCACAAGGAGAGCAACAAAACCAAAAATTTCTGGGCACAGGGGTCTTTTCTGAGACTGATACTCCAACCAAGGACCATTCATAGAAATAACCTAGAACCCTGCACAGATGTAGCCCATGGCACTCAGTCTCCAAGTAAGAGGAACAGAGACTGTCTCTGACATGAACTCAGTGGCTGGCTCTTTGATCACCTCCCCTTGACAGGGGGTCAGCCTTACCAGGGCACAGAAGAAGACAATGCAGCCAGTCCTGATGAGACCCGATAGGCTAGGGTCAGATAGAAGGGGAGGAGGACCTCCCCTATCAGTGGACTGGGGGAGAGGCATGGGAGGAAAAAAAAGGAGGGAAGAAGGGAGGGCGGGATTCAGAGGGGATGTAGGAGGGGCCGACAGCTGGGATACACAGTGAACAAATTGTGATAAATAAAAAATATATTAAAATAAATAAACATTGACAGAAAAAAAAAACTGCCTCTGAATTCCACGAACTGATCTGCCACAAACTCAACTCAACAGCACTTGCCTTTCAACTCACTGACTTAACTGAACTGCCTGAACAAAACTGACTAGAACTCAGAGATCTGCATGGCTCTGTCTCCTGGGTGCTGGGATTAAATTAAAACTTTTCTTTACCTGAAACTGGCTCTATACCAGGCCGGCCTTGAACTCAGAGATCCGCTTGCCTCTGTCTCCTGAGAATTAAAGGTGTGTCTGTATTCTAGTCAGAGTAGCCTTGTTGCTGGATTAAATACCCCGTAAACTTTAAAGGGATTAACATTTTAAAAATCATGGAATAGAGGCTAAAGAGTAGGCTCAGCAGTTAAGCACACTTTCCAGTCTTCTAGAGGACCTGAGTTTGATTCCCAGAATCTACATGGTGGCTCACAATCATCCAAAAGTCCAGTTCCAAGGAACCAACACCCTCTTCTGACCTCACCAGGCACCAGGCACACATATGGTATACATACATATATAAAGGCAAAACACTCATACACAAAAAAGAAATCTTAAAAAAAATGAGCATTTAATGTTAGCTCTGAGAATTTTTATTTCATTTCCTTTACTTCCAAGAAAATTTCTTATCAGTGGCTCTCAACCTTCCTATTGCTACAACCCTTTAATACAGCTCCTCATGTTGTGGTGACTCCCAACCGTAAAATTATTTTGTTGATATTTCAGAACTGTAATTTTGTTACTGTTATGAATTATAGGATATCTGATATGCAACCCCTGTGAAAGGCTTGTTTGACAACCCCCCAGGGGTCGTGATCCACAGGTTGAGAACCTCAGAATGTCAGTCAAAGACTAGCCATAACGGTTTATAAGTACTGAACACTTACTCTTGTGCGCTGTGCCAAAAGATTTACATATTTAAATCAAATGTAATATGGCTTTGACTTTTGTCTCCCTTTTGAAGGAGAATATGTGTCTTCCTCTGCTCTCATTCCTACTTTGTCAAGAACTCCTAATCAAGCACTCCTAATCAATCAGAGGCATCCAATGCCTCTGAGCAGCTGGGAAAGAGACACAAGAACACATGATTTGGAAGAACATTCTTGACACCTATGATCGCGATGTTCATAGAAGATATGGCTACGCTATGACCGTTTTGCCAAGTTACGGGAGCTAGCCAGTTCTTACCCTGTTGTCTTCCTGGATCTCCCAGTCACTCGAGAAAGTCATCAGCTGCTGCCCTTGGGAACAGTTGGCAAACTGGAAAAGGCTGGAAAACATCCTTCTGTTTTCTTGTGTGTCTGGAAAGATGGCATCTTGGAAATTGACCCCATGTGGCAAGAGATTGTAATTTTCATCCATCCTAAGGGGGAGGGGGTCAAAGCAGAGACGCAAGTGAGGCTATTAGAGGTGGGTCAGCTTCAGTCTAGTTTACAGAGTCTTGCTAATTTCATCATGAAGTCTGGCATGGTTCTCAGGAAGGGACGCTACAGTTAGCACTTCTAATTGTTTTCCACTTTATACTACTTGAGTCTTAAGAATGGAGGCTAGAAAATGAGGAAGAAAGATGTGTGCATGCAAATCTGTCTATTTCCCATGTCTCAGAGTGCTCCTTGGTTCCCAGTGAGCACGCAGCAGTTATAAAATGTGACCTGGATTCAAGTCTTGCTGCTACACTGGGTTCATGAAATGAAATGTGCTTCTTGAAGCACCATCTTCCAATCTGCCGCAAAAGGAGTATAGCAGAATACGCTTTCCTGGTATAATCATGGGGACTGCACTAGAAAAATGTAAATGTGGCTCAGTGGGTAAGAGCACTTCCTGATCAAGCGTGAGGACTAGCGTTCAAAGCCCTAGCACCCACATAATAAGCCACTCATGACTGTGCATGCCAGTAACACCAACAGAGACAGGCAGAACTTGGGAGTGTGCTAACCCAGCCTAGCCCAAACAGTAAGTTTCCAGGTCAATGAGAGACCCTGCCTCAATGGCAGTAAGGTAGAGAGCGACAGAGGAAGATGGCCAACATTTTTCTCTGGCCTCTGCATGTGCATATGCTCTTGTGCATGCTTCACATAGACACACACATCCAACACGAACAAATAGAACTTGGCACAGAGTGAATGCAGCACAAGTATTAGTGAACATTTCTTCATGCTTATTAGAAATAGAAAGTAGGCCAGATATGGTGACTCACACCTGTAATTCTAGAGCTTGGGGAGGCAGAGGCAGGTGGATCTCTGTGAGTTCCAGGCCAGCCTGGTCTACAATGCTACACAGAGAAACCTTGTCTCAAAAAGACAAAAATAGATAGATAGATAGATAGATAGATAGATAGATAGATAGATAGATA